AATCTGAGCGATTTCCCCCTCAAAATGAATGGCAAACTCATCACAGCAAGCTGATGAGCAGTCCGGGACCTCCACCAGATTTCCTGGTTGAAGAAGATCCTGGACCACCCAAAATAGCTCTGCTGGACAACATTCTGAGGAAGCAATATGGCTGGAGAAATATTGCCATTTTGCAGCCATATTGCCACAAAATAAGCCCGATAATGGGATCTAAGTTGTGTTCGATCAGACTTCCAGCAGGATTTCCTCCACCTGCACTCCAGCTGTCTCCTGTCTCACTTCATCGCCCACAGTTCAGAAGTATACTAAGGAGATGTCTGGGCTCTGCGTGCAGGGAGAGGGTGCTTAGGCGCAATTGTGTCAACCGTCCGGGTCATCTCCCTATTCCATAGGGTGACCTGAGCTTCGACAGGAGCACCGACCATATCAGATGGATAATCCCCCAGAGCATTCAGGAAACCATCCGGATCCATTAGTCTCCAAGGGCAGATCATCTTAATAGATCCCCCACCTTTGCAGAGGGGAGAAGAAGCTAATAAACTTGACTAGGAGGTGGTCTGACCATGACAATGGGGTCATAACCAGTCCCTCCATATCCAAACCACCATCTTTCAGTCCTGTTGAGAAAACCAGGTCCAAGATATGGCCTTTCTCATGTGTTGGGCTAATGACACATTGAGACAGCCCCATGGTTGTCATGGCGGCCATGAAGTCCTGAGCCACCCCAGTCAAGACAGTCTTGGCATGCATGTTGAGGTCCCCCAGCACGAACAGCCTGGGAGTCCTCAACACCAGGTCCGAGACTACCTCTGTCAGCTCAGGCAGGGAAACTGTTGGTACACAGCAGGGTGGGCAATACACCAACAGAATTCCCAATCTTTCTCGTAAGCCCAACACACAATACAGGCCCTCAAGGCCTCCTCTCAAAGGGATAGGAAGCCTGGTCAAGGAGATAGAACTCCTATATATAGCAACTCCCCCTCCCCAACCCTCTGAGCAACATTGGTGCTAGACCAAGTACCCAGGCAGACACAGCTGGGAGAGGGGAACACCACTCTCCTCTCCCACCCAGGTCTCAGTAATGCACGCCAGGTCAGCACCCTCATCCAGAATTACATCATGGATGAAGGCAGTCTTATTTTGTACTGACCTGGCGTTCATCAACAGCACCGTGTGGCTCGAGGGGTTGCTGATATGGTCACTTGATACCATCTGGTTGGGGGGAGGACTAGAAGAGGGGATAGATGTAAGATATCTAACCTCTCTTCTCCTACGTGGGCATGTTCTACCCTCACCGGCATTCCTTTGAGAAGATTAGAATCCACATGTTGAAATTGCTTTTCATAAGACTATTTAGTCCACTGTAAAAAAAATGAAATGTGAATATTGTATTATTTCTGGCTGAAGATGGATGTTGTAATGGAGCCAGGGTTCATGAAACTGGAGTGCGAGGAAATTTTGATTAGTGGGACTGATGGTATCACTTGCCAGCCCCTTGGTCTTCCCATTTCCTTGTGTGCTCAGCTGCAATCTTCACAGTATTTGTAATGACTTCCCAGCATCAGTTTGGGCTAGGGTTTGTGTTATCTGCTGTGACTAAATGCAGTTAACTAACAAAGTGCCAGGGTGCAGATCAGTTGTACAATTGTGTGCAAACCAGGCACATGAGCAAAAGGAGCTTCAGAACCTCACCAGTTAGTCACAGTTAGCCACAGTGAGATATGAAAGTTCATGTAAACACCAAAAGGATTGTGGTCAGTATTTTGTTATAATTCAATTAAAAAAAACCACCCCAAACAAAAAAAACTCAAACAAACTCCAGTGTATGAATATTGACTATCTTTATGAGTGCTAGTGAGCCCAAGTAGGTATCCTGTAGACCAGTGGTCACCAACCTTGGGCCTCCAGATTTCTTGGACTTCAACTCCCAGAAATCCTGACCAGCAGGGGTGGTGGTGAAGGCTTCTGGGAGTTGTAGTCCAAGAACATCTGGAGGCCCAAGGTTTGGGACCACTGCTGTAGACTATATTGACTGCTACCATTGGTGTTGTCAACATTCAGGCTGCCTTTTGCTATGTAAAAATTGGGATCTTTTTTTCTGCTGATGATATAGATACAATATTGTGCAGTTATATCAGGCCACTTCCTGACATTTTGAATTTTGGATACAGATGCACAATATTCCACATACATAAACTGGAGAGAGAGAGAGAGAGAGAGAGAGAGAGTTTGTGTAGAATTGTATTTCTTGGCTTTTTAAAACAGAGGTTTAAGTATACATACATGACACACATTTTCCAAAAGATGGAGAATTACCCAGCGCTAGAGGATCCCAGAAGATAAACACATGACCTTTACTATGCTTGTTGGGAGAGGACAGAAGCAAGAACAGCTGGGATGCTGCTGCAGTTCCTTTGGGTCAAAATACTGCACTGTATTTTGAAGGGCTGTTTTACAGTTAATGAAATTATGAAGCAAAGGTGTCAATAAGCGCAACACATGCAATGGAGATACATTGTACCTCTCAGGCAAACTAATGTTGCCATGCCTATTCTGCAAAATGGAGACTAGAAAACTATGTTCAATTTTGCAACCCTTCCTTTGGGTTGGGCAGCCTAAGGAAGAAAAGATGTATCAAACCAAAAGCTCTACAGACATGCTGTGTGCATGTTTTCCAAAAGATGTCCCCTCACCATTTAAATTTTTTTAAAAAGAGCAGGTTTGGAATTAGCAAGGATTGTCACTGGAAAACAATGTCAAAATCGTCCATACCATGTGAAAGAAAGAGAAAGATGGTAAAGAAAGACAGGGACAAAAATGAACTCATTAAAAATTTGGTGAGGAGGAGAGTCTTAAAGATAGCGTACATGATGAGAAAGGCAGGTAAATGAATGCTCAATCAAATCAAACCTGAACTCTCACTAGAACAACAGTGAGTAGACTGAAGCTATCCTACAATGCACATATAATGAGAATACGAAGTGACCAGAAAAGACAATATTGCTGGGAAACGTGGTGTGCTGGGAAGGCAGTAGGAAGAGAAGAAGACCTAACAAGACACAGATTGTCTAAACAAAGGAAGCCACAGCTGTTTGCAAGACCTGAGTAAAGCATACTGGAAAATACTATATTGCTAGGAAGGCAGGGGCAGTAGGAAGAGAGAATGACTTCATATGAGTCTCAATAAAGAAAGCCACTACTTTTATCCTTTTTGTCCCTTTGGTAAAATTTCTTGGACAAGGAATTAAAACAGGAATCATTTTGCTCAGAATGTATCACTTTCGCACATTTTGAGTTTCAACTCCTACTCTAACTTAAGTTGAGTGGAAGTGAGGTCTATATAAATTACATAGAGCAAATACTTAAAATGTTTACTGTGGTGATTAATGGGTAAAATTCGAGTTAATGATACATAGTTTTATTCAGCCAGATGAAGTTAATACATTTCGAAAATGTGTTGTTGCAATATCATGCTGGGACTGAATTTCAGAGATGGTTAGGAGAAAGTAATGCTTGGCTACGAGGACTAACCAGAATGAGCGTGGACTGCTGATTCTGTTGAGAGAAGGAAGGCTCAGTCATCACCACCACCTGCACCCCAACTTCAGCACCCTAGTCCATGCATTTTTCTGCTAGACCACCCTCTCTAGCTGAAGACTAGGACTGTTCCCAACTAAGCTGTGAGTCCCCTTCTCCAGCCACTTGCATCAGCCCTAGCCAGTATAGTCAATGAGAGAGTCTATGGCAGTTGAAGAGGGAAAACATCCGGAGGGCTACAGTTGAGAACCTGTACTCTAGGTAGGTATTCTAACTAATTACACTGATGGCTCAACTACCTTGCAATGCAAAACTGGGAGGGGAAGTCAATGGGCCCTCTTGAGTAACCTCCCATTCTTTGATGGGAAGCTTGGAAAAGAACCATTTCTGACTCATGTAACAACAACAATAACACATTTCCAACTGAGAGGCACTGTACTGTACTTTTTAAATCTGTCTTAAGGGAACAATTATCAGTCCCTACCTAATGAACTGAGTAAGTGAATTTAATCTAGTCTGTTACCCAGTGCCTTACTCCATCATTTTTATGACCTGGCTCTCTTCATTTGCAAACCTGCATACAATTTGTTCCAGTGATCTGCAATCATGTTTGTTTTGTTCAGTTGCAAAACTGCTAACAGAGCAAGTCTATTGAATAGCTTTTGTGCTTGGGAGCTGGTTTTGCATGGGCTAGTAGCTGTCTCTCTTCCTACCAGGACTTTCCACTGGGGGATGCCTATGTAGCTCTAAAAGCCTCTTCTCATATCCAGAATCCAAAGCTGCAGCATGGACAAAGAAGGTAAAGGAGCTGTAGAAGACACAGGCAGAGGCAGTGTTACATAGTGGTGAGGGTCTCAGACTAGAGGTTGGGAGATCCAAGTTTGGATCCCCATTGAGACTCACTGATGGCCTTGGGCCAGACATTCTCTTCCCTCCTAGTCTGCCTTATGGGGTCACTGTGAAGAGAACAAGATGAGGAAGAGAGAGATCAAGCTCATGGAGGGAAGATGGGATAGAAAAAGAGCTCATGAAATAATAAATAAAAATGAAAGGTTTGCTGCTGTATGAGGCCATGCAACTGCACCTGTTAAGGGGCTGGAGAGCTAGGTAAAGGGAAATGTGACCTAACGACAAAGAAATCTCCAAGAGTTATGGACGTGGAGACAGCACAGAAGGCCCTTCTTGCATGACATAGATTATCCTTTGGCCTAGAACCCAGGCTGGCAGTTTTCCCCTAAACTGGGCTACAGCTTCCAACATCCCCAGCAATCAGCTGCCGCCCAGTGTACCTGGTAGGTGCCAGATTGGGGGAACCTGCTTTAAGATATCGTGAGCCACCCTGAATCCCTTCTTTGAAAGAAAGTCAGTAAATTAAAATAAAATAAAACTAACCTGGATATGTAATGATCTCAGCGCTGACAAAAGTTACTTTTGTAGAGTTTGGCTCCCAGAATCACTCAGCCATTACAAGCAGTGGCTGGTTATGCTCTTTCCTCCACACAGAAGAGATTGGGAAGGGGATACATTTTGAAGATTGCAGCTTTCCAAATTCCCAGCTGGTTTTAGCAAGGGGTGGTCCGGAGTGGATTCTGGGTGCTGGAATCAAATCACAATTCACTGCAGCTGTGGCATGTGCATGACAAAGAAGGAGCAAATGAAGAGTTCTTGTGAGGAGGGGGAGGGAAAGGGCCAGTGGCGGCAGAATAAGCCGCTTACCATTTAAGGAAGGGCAAGTGGAGCTTAAAAGGGAGCTTGAGAAGCCCAGGCCTTTGGAATCATTGGGTGGTGTCATTCATCAACACAGAGGTGAGTCAGGAATGCTGCCCGGATGGAAGAGAAAGTAAAAAAGGTGGTGGAGAAGAAAGGACAGGAGCACAAGCTGGAGAATCTGGAATAACCAGAAAATTGGATGGAGCTTCAGGCTTAGCAGCCCCTACTTATCTATCTAAAATATTTTTACCCACTTTTCTCCTATAAAAGGGTCCAAGGCAGCTTACATCATTAAAAACACAATATTAAGAGCTAAAAATGGCAAATTATTCAAATATTTAAAAAGAATAAAATATACATTATATTTAAAATATTAATTAAATGCATTACTGTACCTTTTTTGAATCACTGAAAATAATAATAATAGCTACTTTCAGCCTAGTCTTCCTCAGGTGGACAGTGCAGGGCAGAAAAAAAACATATGAAAATCCCCAAAGTCATGGTAGATGTCCGTGTCGGGTCTGTTTTCGTAAAAATGACTTCCAACATGCAAGCTACAAGCACAAGGCAGGAGTCTAGGTTTCAGATTCCACCCATTGTGAGTGTTGGTTGGACTTATTTATTTACTTTATGAGATTTATACCTTGCCCATTTAGACAATTAGTCTACTCTGGGCAGCATTACAACATTTAAAAACAATAGAACCATTGAACATGCAAAAATCCAAGATGAAAAAATGTAAATATTAAGATACAGCAGGAGGGAAAGCCTGCCTAAATAGCCATGTCTTAAGTTTACTTCTAAAGACACCCAGAGAGGGAGCTGGGTGGATCTCTACGGGCAAATTGTTCCAGAAGTGAGGGTCCACTGCCGAGAAGACCCGGTTCCTTGTTCTTTCCTTCTGGGCCTCCCTCGGCGTTAGGCCCCTCAATCGCCTGGCCTGGCTAGAATGAGTGTCTCTGGCAGAACTGGGTGGGAGAAGGCGCTCTGCCAGATATCAAAGTCCTAAACCATTTAGGGCTTTATAAGTAATCGTAAGAACTTTGAAATCAATGCAGAAACGAATGGGCAACCAATGCAAGGTGGCCAGTGTGGGGGAAATATGTCGGTGCTTCCTCACTCCAGTTAGAAGTCTGGCCACGGCATTTTGTACCATCTGAAGTTTCTTTGTCAATATCAAAGGCAGCCCCACGCAGAGCGCATTACAGTAGTCTAATTTTGAGACTACGAGTGCATGGACCAAAGTGGTGAGCGCCCCCACATCAAGATAGGGACGCAGCTGGGCAATCTGTCGAAGGTGGAAATGTGTGGAATGGACCGCTGACGACACCTGGGTCTCCATGGTGAGTGCCAGGTCCAGATGTACACCCAAGCTGCGAACCTCACTCTTAGTGGTAAGAGTCAGCCTCCCAAAAGAGAGGGAGTTTCCCAGACCACTGATGTCTGGGGCACCCACCCAAAGGACCTCCGTCTTACCCAGATTCAGCCTCAGTCCATTCTCCTGCATCCATTGCTGAACAGCCCCCAGGCAGCACTCAAGGGACGAAACAGCATCCACTGTTGTTGGAAAAAAGGAGATGTAGAGCTGAGTATCATCAGCATACTGATGACATGAAGCCCCACATCCCCTGATGACCCCTCCCAGCGGCCTGATATAGATGTTAAACAGATTCTCAATTCTCTGAGGTAAAAATTGATAAATTTCATTAAACAGAGGGAAAGATTGCAGTCTGTACAACTAAATATGAAGCTGTAAATTAGTAGATGGCTTCTGACATAAACAAAGAAGAATTTATCTGGGTCAGTAGATATGGTGTCTCATATGTTATGTTTATATTTGCATTCACTATGAACATTCCTCTCTGAACATTGCATTTCCCTTCACAGTCGATTAGGATGCTAGCACTTTTCTGGGTTGTGCGGAAAACTTTCAATAGATGCCATGGAGTGGAAGCTAATTGTTAGACTAGTAAACAGGTAAGATCACCTCAGCAAATCTGTACTTTTTAATCTATACTCTGGATCTTCCTGCATGAGCCTTTTTCATTCTCCTAGATTTTAAATTAATGAACAAACATAAGCGTTCCGGGGAAGAATCTGAAAGGAAAACTACAGGCTTGCACAATCCTGCCATGTAGCCACAGCCTCCACTAAACATCCACGACCCTCTCCTTTTGCACCAATGGCACTTTGGAGCAACTTCCATGGATCAGAATTTGCTTCAGGTCAAAGCATCGTATCTTGTAACTATCAACTAACAGAGCAGAAGAAAAAACAGACTTACCTGAAAAGGGACCATGCAGGGCTTTTTAAAAAGGCTTGCAGAATAAGTCTCCTGCCCCAGAACTCACACCTTTCCAGGACAGCTGGAATTGCCAATTCATTGCTATCTCTGCTCTCCCATCACAGACTTTAGTTAACTAATAGTAAAAGGCAAAATATAGCACCCGTTCTCTCAGGAGCTCATTCCCACCATTCAGCACAGCCACTGGAGCATCAGATCGTGCTGTAGAAGTCTTACGTCAATTTCATGTGTCAAGGAAGCATCCTTGTTACCCAGAAACCTTCCATCATTTCTCTTCTGCGGCTTGTTTGCTTCATCACTCTGGTTGGCTCATTCTCTCACTCTCTTTTTCCATGCAACTGACTTTGCCAGAGAGATGCTCTCAAAGCAAAAAACAACAACACACAACCTCTGTATAAACAAGGACCATCTGATGCAGGACACTCTGATAACAAGAATGAGTCATCCAGCTCACACACATTGTCTGAAATTGCAGGGAAGCTGAACTATAATTAAAACAATTATGCCAGGTGAATTGCAAGCACTATTCATACATTAT